GTGGGAGCCACAGGGCCCTCCATGGTTCACAGGTAGATGTCTTATAAAGAATGCAATGTTGCAACTTCTGTGCTGATTTGTCAGTTTTGCTAGAAAACATCCTGAAAATGTGGACATTTCATAAAAGCAAGTTGAAAGGAATCCTCTGAGCCTGTCCCCTCCCGGCTGTGCCTCACCCCACTCACAGCTGCCAGGACTAGTCCCACCACGAGATCAGGGTGCAGACAGAAGGCCTGTCCAGCACCAGGATGACCCCAGAACCCCTCCTCAGCTCTGGGGAGAGAGGGGCTGCAGCAGCTCCTGGCAGCCCTGATGGGCCGAGCCCCAGGTCATGACTCAAACCCTGGTGGAAGCAAGCTCCCCTCAGACTGGAGGTTCTGAATACGATGACAAAAATCCAAAGAAAATAATATGGAAAAGAAGTTCAGGGACAGGTCACAGTGAGGGAGGGCCCAGCGAGGAGGACAAGGAAAGTCTAAGTGGGCAGATTACAGGAGAAACGTAAGTGGAGAACAAATGGGAATGGAAATCTATTTCTTAAAAACTTATCCCCAGGGTTCTTAGAGCTGATGGTGTGAAGTCCTTTCCAGGGAACTGTCACCCAGTGGAGACGCCCTTTCCTGCCCTGACCAAGGAGCCATCACTTAAATATTTCACATTCTGCACCCCAGTTGGTGCACCCCGGTCAGCGGTGAGGAAAACAGACCCACAGCACCTTGGGCTTCTGGGGCCTGGGTGTGGAGAGACACTGGCTGGAGGGAGGGAGGGGGACATAGCTGCTTTCTCAGGTGCCCCATGGACACCGTCCTGTAAATACTGTGATTTGCATCCTCACTTCCTGATGTGCATTCGATACATGAAAGGGCATATGTCATTTGTTGTTATCGCACAGATCAAGTTTACCATCACCTCTCCACTATCATCCCCTTTCTCCTTGATGACCTGGAGGGAGGACACCATGGGACCTTTAGAATCCAGGAAGGGGCGGTCACTACTGTCCCTTGGTTGTGATATTAAGCAACTACTAGTTCAAAACCTTCGGGCAGCCAGAGCACCATCGGTTTACTTTTGTGAGATCAAAACGGAGACAACATACATCAGCATAAGAAAAGGCTATTTGCTATTTCTCTAAAATGTGAGAATAAACTTTCTTTATAAGTATCATATTTGAAAAAAAAACATATCATTTCCTTCTGATCAATTAAAAGGTATTTTGGTATATATTATTATTTCTCCCTATCTCAGAATTAGAAGAAAATGCTTAAAGTATTTTGGATTGAGTTTTTGAAACAAGAGAAGGAAAACCAAGTGTGTTTAATAAAATTCTGGGATTAACATTTATCTTTTCCTGGACGAATAGGAATATGGATTCGTCACGCTGAAGCAGAAAATAACCAGGACACTTATTAGTATGCACTTTGAAAACTAGTAGAGCAGCAAATCAAACTCCTTGTAGTCTGAGAAATGGATAGAAACCTAAAATGATTTACTTAAAATGTTTTTTTTCTTATTAAAAAATTAACAAATTTTCATGAGCCACGAAATTAACGGGGCAAAATCTAGTAAGAAGAAAACTTTCCTCTGAATTCTAAACAGTCCTCTGAGCTGTTGAGTGTGGGGAGAGCTGGATGCATAATTTAGAGCTATGTTAGAACTTAACGTATAATTTGGCTCTTTTGATCCTTTATCAAAGTCACAGAAGCCCACTCACACACTGACGCTGCACCTCAGGAAGAGAAAGGCACTTACCTGGGCAGGTCGCATGGGGAGTCAGGGGACCTGAGCGGATCCTGCACTGTTTTAAGGAAAGGACATCTTTAACTCACCTCTCTGTAGGGCTTTAATTTTAGCTTCTGCAAGAAGGTGACAAGATGCCACTGGAGATCACAGAACCGTGGCTTCCCCCAGGGGAACATGTCACCTGACTCTTACTTTTACTTTAGTCCCTGGTGGATAGTAGCAATCTGGGGAGAATCGAACTCAAAACTTTTCTCTTAATTCCCTGGACACATCTGTGTGAGGGATCTGAAGGCTCCCAATCATGTAGACCACAAGCACTCTCTCCTTTTTTAAAACCCATATTCAAGTTAGTTCAAACCCACGTCATATATTGTAACACTTTGACTCTGGGATGGGTGGTTCCTGGCTCCTCCCATGGATTCCAAGTGGCTCTGGGGGTCCTCTCTCTAAAATGTGAGACCACCTTCCTTGGTCCACTCTCATGCTGACCATGTGGTTTGGGTAATATGTCTTCTGGGATTTTTAAACTCAGCCCCAGGATTTCACCTCTGTTTCAGGTTAATAAATATAACAAAATATCCATTATTATCATAGCAAAAGAAGCAAAAAAAAAAAAAAAACCATTTTAAGCCAATTTCTTTTCATTGTTCAGGAATTCTCCAGGGTCAGCTCTTCAAAAAAAATGGTGCTGGGAATACTAGCCATCCATATGTAGAACAATAAAATTTAACCTCTATGCCTCCTCACCCTGCATAAAACTCAACTCAAAATGACCAAGGACCTAGGTATTAGACCAGAAACCCCTATGTCCACTGGAAGAAAAATATAGGCCCATCTCAATATCATGTTGATGTAGGAACAGACTCCGTTAGCAAGATCTCTAAAGATCAAAAGGAAAATCAAGAATCAATAAATGGGAAACAATCAAGAATTTTGGGCTGGGGTTGTGGCTCAGCAGTAGAGCGCTTGTCTAGCACATGTGAAGCCCTGGGTTCGATCCTCAGCACCACATAAAAATAAATAAACAAAATAAAGGTGTTTTGTACAACTAAAAAAAAATAAATATTTTTTAAAAAACAGAATGTAAAGAGAGAGTCAACAGGATGGGAGAATGTCTTTGCCATCTGCCCCTCCAATAGACACATTCATCTCCAGGATATGCAAAGAACTCATCTATTTGACACCAAACAAATGGGCAAGGTAACTGAACAGGCACTTCACAGGAGAAGAAATACCAATGGTCATCAAACATGGAAAGATGATAAACATCTCTAGCAATTATAGAAATGCACATTAAAACTACATGGAGATTCCAGCTCAATCCAGTCAGAATGGCAATTATCAATGTTAGCAAGGATGCAGGGGTAAATTTTCACTCATACATTGCTGGTGGGTTTTTAAAAAAATTTTTGCAACTCCTACAGAGAGCTATATGGAGATTCTTCAGAAAACATGGAATGGAACCATCATTTGAATCAGTTATCCCACTCCTCAGTATATACCCAAAGGACTTAAAATCCACATAGTATAGGGAGCTGGGGTTGTGGCTCAGTGGTAGAGTGCTAGCCTAGCATATGCGAGGCACTGGGTTCAATCCTCAGCACCACATAAACATAAAAAAATAAAGTTATTGTGTCCAACTACAATTAAAAAATATTTTAAAAATCCACTGTAATACAGTAAGACAGCCACATCCATGTTTATAGCAGCTCAATTCACAACATCTAAGCTATGGAACCAACCAAACTGCCCTCCAACAGATGAATGGATAAAGAAAATGTGGTATATATACACCATGAAATATTACTCAGTCAAAATAAAAAAGAAAATTATGGGGTTGGGGTTGTGGCTAAGTGGTAGAGCACTTGCCTAGCATGTGTGAGGCTCTGGGTTCAAGTCTCAGCACTGAATATAAATAAATTTTAAAAAGGTCCATAGACAACTAAAAATATTTTTACCTGATTTTTATTTTTTAAATATATGACAGTGGAATGCATGACAATTCTTATTACACATATAGAGCACAATTTTCCATAACTCTGTTTGTATATAAAGACACCAATTCCTGTCTTCAAATAGGTACTTTGGATAATGATGTCCATCACATTCCACCGCCCTCTCCCTTCCCCTCCCACCCCTCTACACTATCTAGAGTCCGTCTATTCCTCCCATGCTCCCTCTCCCTACCCCACTATGAGTCAGTTACCTTCTATCAGAAAAAACATTCGGCATGTATTTTGGGGATTGGCTGACTACACTTAGCATTATCTTCTCCAACGCCATCCATTTACCTGCAACATTACCTCCCTACAATGCTGAGCTCTGGCTTTGAACTTGTGATCCTCCTGCTTTAACCTCCCCGGCCACCAAGGTTATGGGTCAGGGCCAGCATGCCCAGCTTCTGTCCAAATTTTCTATCACAGAGCGAGGATCACAGGTATGATCGTTATGCCATAAGGAGTCTAGACCCTGGTGCCTCCTGTGTGACACTTCACGTGCACCCAGGAAGCCCCTGGGGGACCACAGTGGCAGGCTTCACTCCTGCTTTGGGGATGCAAAGCAGCAGAAGACAGGCAGGCTCCCACCAGCTTCATCTCCCCTCTCTACCAGGTGACCTTGAGCAGGGGACTCCTCTCCAAGTTCATTCTGGGGTGGAAGTGTCACTGAGAAGTCATTGAGAAGCATTATTGTCCTCTGTCAGGTTTAGCAAAAGGAGCTGGGCGGAGCTGAAGTGCTGGGCGGAGCGGTCCTGGGAGGCCAACCCTTAGGAGCAGTGGGCGGGGCGGGGCCCAGCGAATGGGCAGAGCCGAGAGCGGAACCGTGGTGAGTGAGTGGAGCCCCACCCCAGCAGGCGGGTAGGGGCGGGGCCTAAGGTAGCAGGTGGGGCGGAGCAGAGCGAGGAGAGCCCAGCGAATGGGTGGAGTTGGGGGCGGTGCCTAGTGGGTCGGAGTGGAGCCGAGCTAGTGGGCAGAGCTGGGGGCGGAGCCGAGCGGGGCTGAGTGGAGCCCCACCCCTAAGAGCAGAGGGGGGCGGGGCCAGCGGAATCACGTGGGAGGCGTGACCCGCCCCGGGCTCCCCAGGGGAGCGCAGCGCGGGAACAAGGAGCCTCCTGGGAAACTGAGGGAGAGGCGGGAGCATGCGCACGAGGCTAAGGAACCCGAGAGGCGCGTGTGACTGGAAATCCCTTCAGAGGTCGCCGTGGACCCAGCGGGGAGCGGGCCCTGGTGTTCCCGCGGCCCGAGATGTGACCCCAGAGTCCGCTCCGCCGGCCGCAGTTCCCCCCTCACACGGGAGGCCGCGGAGGGAGGCTGAGGACCCGCTGCGCAGCCTCCTTGTCCCTCCTCAGGGTCGTGGTGGACTCTCCGTCTGTCCAGGTGGGTTGGGGTCCAGGGGTCTCTGGGAGGGTCCTGAGATGTCGCCTTGGAGACTTGGTTTCTGGGCGCGACCGTGCTCCCGGCGTGTCGCGGAGACCCCTCCTGGTGCCTGCGGTGTAGACGGCGTGACCTGGAGGCCTAGACGGTGGTGGGTGGTGGGTGGCCCGGCCCCCGCGGTCCTCCGCACTGACCCGGGCAGGGCGTCCTGGCCCTGGGCAGGGGGAGAAGCGCGGACGAGAGCCGGCTCGACCCCGCCAGGGCGACCTTGGGGACTCGCTGTAGCTGTGAGCAGGACACGGGCGACGCCACCTCTCAGGCTGGGCAGAGGCCAGCACAGCTCCGGGGTCTCTAAGGGACGGTTTGGCGGTGGCGGGTGAGGAGGGGAGGGGGAAAGGGTGACAGCAATGTCGTGGAGACGGACAGGTGGACAGTTTTGTCCTCTATAAAACAGTCAACACTCCGTGTCGCAGGCTCCACCCTGGACAGTGAGGACACAGGGGAAGACCCCTGGCCAGGAGTCCCCGTGTCCTCTGGGAGTCCCCTGCTGTTCCTGGTCTGTCCCGAGAGTCCAGGCGCTGAGCAAGCGTCGGACACTAGGTGGCGCCAGAGCTGCGCAGGCGCCAAACAGGCGCGGGCTCCTTTAGGTCCCTGATGTCCTGACACCGTCCATGGGTCCGTTTCCACTGCTGAGTTGTCACATTGTCACCTCTCACCGTGTCACTCAGCTGCCCCGAGACCCTCCTACCTGATATGAAGGCCTGCTTCAGGAGATGGTCCGCCGCCTTCTGCAGTTGCGTCCCCATGAGTCCCCCAAACTTCCAAGGACATCTGTCAACCTGTCCCACCTGGTGCTTGCTCCCTGTGCTTAGTGTCATTTCCCCCTGTTGGACGTGCTGAGCCGCGCATTGGACACCAGGTGGCGCCAGAGCTGCGGGTAAACTCTCCCTGCAGCCACAGCCTTGGGCTCTGTGCTCATCAGCCTGGTTCCTGGAAAACCTTCAGGATTCCTCTTAAGAGCAGCAACTAGTTTTAGTGTAACTCAGTGAATTTGATGCATGGGATGAATTTTCCCGCCAGGAAAGGGAGGATTATTACACTCTGCCCAGAGTGTTTTGGGTCCATCTTCTTGGAAAGCAAAATACACAATGAGATCCCCAAGTGAGATGAGGGTCTGAATTCAGCCTTGACCTCTCCCTACAACTGTCATTACCGGGAGGCTTCTGGAATCTCTGCCAATGTTGGGGGCATTTTCTTCTCTTTTTTGGGTTCTGATTTTCATAAGCCATGAAATAGAATTCAATCAGAAGCATCCCCACTGATGAGTCCCAGTTAGTGTTCTACTAAACTAATACAACATAAAGATCAAGTAATGTGCTCTGGTTTCTAGAAAAGAGTCTCAATTCAAATGTGTGAGCCTGTGTATTGCTTGCTACCTGAGAAGAGATCATAAAATAAAATTGCATCCAAAATCATAATAGTGGATGACACCTTTTTTTTTCTTTATTTCTTTTGGGAGGTGGGGGGCATTGGGGATTGTACCCACAAATGCTTAGCCACTGACCCACATATCCAGCCATTTGTCTGTATATTATTTTGAGACAGGGTCGTCCTAAGTTGGTGAGACTGGGTTTGAACTTGCAATTCTCCTGCCTCAGCTTCCTGAGCTGCTAGGATTACAGGCTTGCAAGGTCCCATCTGGCTTACCTCTTTCAAAAAAAAATCCATTTTAAAGTATACATTTAAAGTATACATTTGTGGCATGTAATGTACATATACACGATAAATCACTTGCTTCTATAAAGCCTTCGTTTTGCAAGATGCCTTTGAGAGTTTCATAGGGCAAATGCCTATAAGTCTTGTTGGGTTTTTCCACAAACCTCAGGCGCAAAGGAAATCTGTGGGACCTGAGAATTCCTTTTAGGAGTGTCTCCTGCAGGGTTTTGACTTTTTCTCTGTCTCAGCCTCAGTTTCTTCATTTGTAAAATGGGGCTCGTGATCTCTGCTTCGTGGTGTTGGGAGAATTCAGCCAGATGTTAGTAGGGGACAGCTAGCTGCCTTAGAAGGTCCCTTAGGTGCTGAACCTATAGAACGTGTGCTGTCAATCCCTCCTCCCCTCTTAGAGTCTGTGGCAGTGAGATTGAGTGGGACATTTATATGAAGAACATCCTGGGGACTTTAATAGGAATGAAAGATCCTTGCATTGGATCTGCAGATCGCTTTCAGTAGTATGGTGTTTTTTAATAACATGAATTCTGCTTATCCAAGAACGTGGGAGGTCTTGCCCTCTTCTGAGGTCTTCTACAATTTAGGGATGAGGGTCAGAAAAAAAAGAAAGACAGTCACATGAACCTGACCTGACTTTGCTCTGCACATATACGAATACACCACAGTAAATCTCCACATCATGTACAAATACAGGGCTGGAACCTAATTAGAATAAGACCTATTTCATGGTTGTATAAATATGTCAAAGTAGACGCTATTGTCATGTATAATTTAAAAGAACAAAAAATAAATAAATATGAGCCGGGCACAGTGGCATACTCATGTATCTCAGCAGTTCAGGAGGCTGAGGCAGGAGGATCATGAGTTCAAAGCCAGCCTCACTAAGAGTGAGGACCTAAGCAACTCAGTGAGACCCTGTGTCTAAATAAAACACAAAATAGAGCTGGGGGTGGGGCTGGGTCGAGTGCTCCTGAGTTCAATCCCTGGTACCCCCCCAAAAAATAATTAATTAATAAGAAGTGTGCATAAGCTATAAACAGTCAAACCTTTGCATAATTACAGATCCAAAACTAAAAGAAAAAACGGGGAGCAAGAGGTGGAAAAATAATGGACTAAGTTTTTTTTACAAGCTTGATGAAAGAATATTAACCAAAAAAATGGAAGGAATCCTAGATCAAAATATCGTCAAAATGAACGGAAATCCTCTTGCTGAGACCAGGTTAAGAATTATACAAAATTCCTTGTAAACTTAAAAAAGTTGTAAGTATAGTTTCTGATTCAGAATATTGACATTACCGATACTTTAGAATAAGTCTTCAGAAGTTCTGGGAGAAAAGAGAATGTTTTTTAAAGTAAAGAAATGGGGGACATTCATAGTGGTGCACACCCGTAACCCCAGAAAAAATCCTGACATCCCAAAATCTAAGATTAATGGGCATAAATATTATTTTCCCAAGTTTTAGGAACTTGTATTCCTGGATATTTTGTCACCAGGAATGGGAAACAACCACCACCTTTTCTCTTTAAATATCCTTGCAACCTCACTGTCATGCACCTAAGTGGTTGAGTACAGGGTCAGGATTGACCCTATTTGCTTGTAATTTGTGAAATTAGTTTTGGACAAGAAATGCTTCGTGAGAAAATCCTAGCAGATGTTTTGCCGTAATGCAGGGTCACCCTGTGTAAGCTGAGGTTTTGATATAGAACCCAACTTCCTTCTAAGGTCTTTGAAACTTGGAAAAATTACACAGAGTACAGAGTCACTTATATCCATAGTATTTCTATTTGAGTTATGATATGGTCAAAATATACACAAATGACAATGGCACTTTGCATTTAAACTGCCAGAAAGCAGGAGGTTGTCTTAAAAGCAGAGCACGCCCTCCAAAATCAGCTCATCAGAGGCCCTAGAGCACAGTGAAAGCACATTGCTTCCTGAGACCCTGGGACCCAGAAGAGAAGGAGACCATATCTTTTTAAAAAAAAAAAATTAAATTTGTTTTAATTAGTTACACATGACAGTAGGATGCATTTATGCACTTCGATATCTCATACACAGGTGGGATACATTTTTCTCATTTTTTCTGAGTATACCTGTTGCAGAATCATATTGGTCGTGCAGTCACATATATACATATAGTAATAATGTCGGTTTCATTCTATCTTTCTACCCCCACATCCCCTCCGTATCTTAAAAGTGTAAACAGAAACAAATAAATAACTTTTTTCCCTCCAAATGTTATACATGAAGACCACATCAAATTTCAATAATAGAGTTAAAAATGACATTTTCCAGATACGGAAACCTGGATGTATTCATCCACAGGACATACACAAATAGAATACGTCCAGGATCCAGATAAATCAAAACAGAAGTTGTCCAGGATTCAGATAAATGAGAAATGATGGGAACCTGGACCTGTGGATCGAAAGGAAGAATCAAACGCATGATAAATGCCCAGGAGAACCCAAGACACTATGTTTGACCTGGGTGGTAAAGAATGGCAGCAGATATGTGTCCATCCAGCCCTTCTGCTCAGATCCCATTCTTTATTGGACTTTGCTTACAAAACACAAGTACAATGGTGATGTTTATCAGAATTTCTCGAGGGCAGCGACAGGCATCCAACCAGGCACAGGGCACCTTCCACAGTCATGGTGACCTTTCCTTTCACATCATCGCCCTCCTGACTGCTGTGACAGGACCTCACCTCCTGGTGGCTCTGATTGGCATTTCCTTGAGAATTGATGGATGTTGAGCATCTTTTCTTTGCTCGTTGGCCACATACGTGTTTTTGCTTGGGTGGGATATCTATTCATATCCTGTGCTGTTTTTAATGAGGTTATTATTTTTTTTACTAAGTTCTGAGGTTTTAATAAAGGTTTAATTTTTGTGTGGTGCTGGGGACTGAATCCAGGGCCTTGTGCTTACAAGGCTAACACTCTACCAACTGAGCTCCAGCCCCAGCCCCAAACGTTGAAAATCAACCTCTTTCCTGATATATGATCTGAAAATATACTCTTCGTCCTATATGTTGTCTGTTCACAGCTGATAGTTCTCCTTTCTGTACAGACGATTTGTAGTTACATGTCATTATGTTGCTGACTTTGTCACCTGTACTTTTGGTGTGATATCCCAGAAAATAGTTTCCTATTCCAATGTCATGAAGATATCCAATTGTTTTTTTGGGGGGTGGGGGGACAAGGTTCACAGATTCATGTGTGACATCTATGTCTTCAATCCATCTCGACTTGATCCTTGTGTGTGCCGTAGGACAAGGGTCCATCATTTTTCTTTTGCATACAAATATCTGTTGAAAAGACTATTCATACTACATTGGCTATATATGGCAGTGCTTTGAAAGATGTCTCCATGACATTGTATGAGGATGTTTATCAAGACACCCCGTTCGTTCCACTAGTTTATAGGTTTACTATTATGCCACTATTCCATAATTTTTTTCTTTCTTCCTTTTTTATTTCTTTTGTATGCAGGTGTGGTTTTCAAGTGTTGGTGATGAACCCCAGGACCTGTGCATGCACACTAGGCAAGGGCTACATCTCCAAGATCCATCCCCAGCCCTAACACACGGTTTTAATTACCATAGCTTCAAAATATATTTAAAAATTGAGTGTGGCTCCATCAGCTTTGTTGTTTATCAGGGTTGATCTACCTATTCAGGGTCTTGTACAGTTGCATGTGGATTTTAGCTACCTCGTTTCCTATTTCTGTAAAATATCCTCCTGAGATTTGGATAAGGGATTGCATCTGATCTGTACATAACTCTGATAATATGGACATTTTGATATTGATTCTTCGCATCATGAATACGATGCGTGGTTCCTCTGATTCATGTTTGCTTTAATTTCTTGCATCATTATAGTTTTCTGGGTACAAGTGCCAAGTTCATGCCTCAGTATTTTGCTCTTTATATTGGTTTATTGTGGGGATTGTCTTTTGAATTTTCTTTTCACATATTTTGTGGCAATTGTAAAGAAACAAAGCAGAATTCTTGGGATGTTGCCTTTGTGTTCTGCTGAATGCCTGTCAGAATCCTGAAAGGAATTCTGTGGGATCTTTAGTGTTTATACCTATGTCAACACATCACTCGTGAGACAGTGTCTCTCCTTCCTTGGAATTTGTATGCTGTTGGGTGTCCCTATAGATGATCCGCATGTACTGAGCCACCTGTGTCCCATGGATAAACCCCAGGCCTTCACCATGGATGATGCTCTCAACGTGCTGAATTTGGAGGAGATCAAGATGGTTTGGTGCTAATTGTTCAATGTGTAGCCCTCCATCATGAAGTCCCGTGTCTCTGGGCCCCTTTTTGGAGGGGTGGGGTCTCTTCTGTTACTGGTTCACTCTTCTCCATCAATACTTGTTTAGTTCCAGTTTCCAACCTCAGTGTTCCGAGGTTGTGTGTGTCTAGGGTTCTCTTTTTCAATCTGGTTGTGAATGGAGACGTGTTGATTCACGTCTCTGCGACATCCTCCTGATGCACCCCCAAGTTCTAGTAGGTGGTATTTTGATCCTCATTTTTTTCTCAAGGAAATTTCTGATTCCACTTGTGAGTTCTCCGTGCGTGACTGGTTAAACAGTGTTGTTTAATTTCCACATAGTTGGGATTGACAGTTTTCAGTCTTTAATTTTATCTTCACTCTATGGTGCTTGTTGATGTACTTGATAGGATATCAGATATTGATAGGATCGAGGAGGCTTGTCTGTGACCTGGTATGTGTCCTCTTATGAGCGCTGCTCTGAGCACATCAGAGTAGTGTATTCTGCCTGGGATGTTCTGCATGTCTCTTGGGTCCTTTTGTCCTGGTTTATAGCTACACCTTGAAGTGCAGTCTTAAGATCATGCTGCTGTTATTGTGATCTCAGCCGCCCAATATCAATTGATTGAGGACTTTCATTGATTCAGACTTAACAGCTATTCATAATAACTTAATCAGCCACTTTGTTCTGTCCTGTAATCCTTTGGACACCTTTCTCCTATGTTTCTATGTCCCTTTTCTGTTTTTTAAAATGTTTAATCTCATATTCTTTGCTTCCTTTAATACCTACATTTTTATAAAGACATTTGATTCGAGAGTATTTTATATTTGGCTAATTTTGCTAATTAAATAGGATATGTGACACGTGAATAATTTTTGCATCACTGCTATCATGATTGGTAAACTCCCACGTGTGACTTATTGTCTAAACCTGGTGTTCTTACAGCATGTACCTTTCACCCGGGAAAGGAGTTACTGCGATGCTGAATGTCTTTGGAACGCAGAGCAGCACAAAGTGGTGCCTAACAGCATCCGCATGGAGAACACCTCTCCTGGGAGAGGCTGAGATCAGAAGTGAGCTTCTCAAAGCCAATCTTCACATCACTGGGACAAATCAGCTCTGATGTTTCAAAGCTCACCAAATGACCCTGCGCCACATTTAGAGTCTTATCCCTTACTTTATAGTTTCAGAAAGAATGTTTTCCACAACTGAGTTGATAATTAAAAACCCTTTTATGAGGATAAAATATATGTAACATAAACATTCTGACCATTTTTCAGCCTACAGTCAAGTGGCCTGGAATCTATTCACATTATTGCACGACGGTCACCACCACCCATGACAGCACTCACTTCCTAACTGAATAGAGGTTCTCAACATACCAAGGGACAACTCCCCGCTGCCTCCTGTCTTGGTCTCTGGACGCCCTTGTGTTCCTGCTCTGTCACTCTGCCCACTCCAACTCCCACCGTCTTTAAGTATATTTATACAATGTTTGTTGTTTTGCGACTAAACCGGCTTCACTGAGTAGAGTAACTTGCGGACTCAGTTAGGCGGCCCTGTGATCCAGAATATTCTTCCATTTTAAAAGTTGATGATATTCCAGAGTCTACAGAGGCCATCACGTATTGTTTACATATTCTTATGATTGCAGGTGTTGTTTCTATGTTGGAATGTTTAAAGCATGGTTTTAAGAGCAATGATGTGGAGAAGGCTGTTTGACTCCCTGCATGTTGAACGTGTGTGTGTGAGAGTGTGTCTTGTGTGTGTGTTGGATCATGTGATATTTCATGGTAGAATATGTTTACAAGTGTAGTTTGGAAAAATACAGATAATGGAGACGATGCAATATTTGAGAACATTGTGACTGTTGTATCTAAAAAGACTTTGCAATAACCCAGGTTATGACAAGTGACATCCAACTCACAGGCCCCTATTAAGGATCCGGTGAGAAACATGACATCCCCATAATATTTCACAGAGTCCCATGGTTTGGCTTTCTTTGATGTACTTGCATCCACACATGTCCAACTGGATAGTTCAACAGAGGGAGTGAGACTTTGCATTGCATTTAAACCAAAGACTCTAAACACTCTGTCATGATAAATCACTCCAAATTCAGCACAGTTTCTCGCCTTAACAGAACTTATCCACCACGGGCTACTGAAATGTTTACTGTCTTCTCCCACTATATCTGAAAATACTAATTATACGTTTTTCAGTACAAATAAACACCAAAGGGCTGAACGAGGCATAGCTATGGGTCACGAGGATCTGGATACAGTAAAATATTGGATCATCCTTCAGTGTGATTCTTGCATAGGAGACAATGCTGTCCAAGATGGACATGACCACGAAGCAACTCATGAGCAGCAGGATTGTCTGGGTGGCCCTCAGTTCTGGGGATAACACTGGAGACAGGCTGGTGCTATGGAGATGCCGGGACTGCCTCTTGTGCCTGCACAGGAGAGCCACCATGTATCCACTGGAGACGGCCATGATTCCTATAAAGGAGACTTCCCTGAAGGTCAGCAGGGTGGACAAGCTATGCCGGAGGAAGAAGGTCATGGGAATGAAGGAGCAGGATTCTGTAACGTACATAAAGTTGTCTGAGGTCCAATTGCGGGTAGCAGCAATGGAGATGAAGAGGTGGCTACTGAAGGATGAGTAGATGACCCACAGGAAGAGAAGGAAACACAGGTTATGATGTGAGGGTTTATGTTTGAACCTTGCCAAGCAGGAGCCCCTGGGGCTGAGGGTGATGGCTTGGAGGACACTCAGCAGGCAGGTGGCACAGATGGAGAAGCCCCTCATCAACCTGTACAGGTAGATGAGCCATTTACACGTCAGGTCATCCCACCTGCCCCCCTGAGGTATAAAAATGTCCGAAGCTATGAAGCCATTGATGAGCAGAATTACCAGGTGGATTAGGGCCAGGAGACCAATGGGCAGGTCAGAGGGCTTAGGTCTGTGCCCAGTAATGTGCAAGGAGATGTGGACCAGAAGAAGAAGGGCGTTGGCCATGACCCCAACGCCAGTCACGGTGTACACGGTGTTTCTTATGTGAATGTTACTGTACAGTCTGTTGGCTTTGTTCATCTTACAAGGGAAAGAAAAATATTGTGACCACAGTAACTCACAAAAATGTCTTTTTTTTTTTTTTTTTGCAAATCTGACCTCCTTTATCAATCTCAAATGAACACCACTTCCATGAAGAAAAAAAGAAGATTCATCCAACTGTATTTTTATTCCACATGAAAATTCAGTTCTGGTGCTGGGCACAGTGGTGTCTGCCTGAAATCCCAGTGACCCCACACACTGAGGCAGGAGGATCACAAGGGTGAAGCCAATCTGGGCGTCTTAGTGAGACCCTGTTTCAAAATAGAGAGTCAAAAGGACCAGGTGTAACTTTGCTGGTGCACTTACCCACCAAGCAGCCCCCAGCACAAAATTTAAAAAAAACACCAAACTATGTTCTATTCACACCCTGGAGAACGCATCTCCACACACCGCCTTCTCTCAGTACCTTCCAATCTCACTGGGACCTCCACAGCGTCATATATATTGATACTTCAGTTTTCTTGTACATTAAGAATTGTCAGCCAGGTGCCGTGGTGCACTCATGTAATCCCAGTGGCTCAGGAGGCTGAGATGGGACAATGGCAAGTTCAATGCTGACGTCACCAAGTTAGCAAGGACCTAAGCAACTTCCTGAGACCCTGTTGTCTCAAAATGAAAAATAAAAAGTGTCAGGGATTTTTTTAAAATGGGGTCATGTCATGGCTCAAAAGAATATATTTCCTTCCTATTACCTCATGTCTGAGGTTGTCTGGGGCAAGACAGGAACTTACTTGATTTGCCTTTTCCTGATCTTGTTGGTCAGTTGCATAATAGGAGGTCTACAAATTGGGCCAAATTTCAGGGGGGTTGATTGCAAGAAACTGGAAGTAAGGCCCTCCCAAACATGAGTGTCCACAGACTAGACCTGCATGGAGTTACTTCATATCTGCACCATTTTAACTCTGGTTTATTTCCCACCAGACCAAATGTTTGTAATATATAAACAAGAAAATATTGGTGTGAACTCAGATGTCGGACTGGTTGAAGTTGCAAGTTGGAGCTACCATTTACAATAGCTTCTTCTTAAGCACCCTAGGATGCTGAGGTCCAGTCATCTCAATTGTCCACATAAAGAGTCCTGTTATGTGGATCCTGCAGAGACTATGTGGGAAAAAGTAAAGTGTGCCTACCAACCTTGGAAGTGTTCGTGGCACATAATGAGCTCTCCAGAAATGTTGGCTTCTAATCTTATTATCATACAGTTCTTCATGCACAAGACTTGGGAGAATCAATGCAGCTCTTTTAATAACAGATCAGATGTGTCCCTGCCTGAAAAGAAAGAGAAGAAAGAAATTACGGCAGGACGTGGGGGTGCACGCCTGTAATCCCAGCAGGTCAGGAGCCTGAGGCAGGAGGATGTGAGTTCAAAGCCAGCCTCAGCCACTTACACAGGCTCTGAGCAACTCAGCAAGACCCTGTGTCTAAATAAAATATAAAAATAGGGTGGAGATGTGTCTCAGTGGTTAATTGCTCCTGTGTTCAAATTGCAGTAAAAAAAATAGAAAAACCAACATAGTAGAACATTTGCACTATTCTGTTCTGAGGACTCGAAACTTTATGTCTGTCCTTGGAATCCCCTGAGGTGGCTACACATGTCACATTGCTGTTAATCCTCTATCCAGAATAACTAGCCTATGTTAGAACATTCTGGAACTATTGCCAAGAGCATAGTTATTTTTTCCTTTTCAAGACTTTACAATCAGAGTAGTAAATAGAACTACATTTAAAACAGACTTGGTGCTATTTTAAAACAGAGTTGGTGTTTCAAGGTTTTAATTAAAGGACACGTGTCCAGCCCATTCCTGAAAGACAAACTCCAAGATGTTATCTCTATTACAAGTTCAAGGTGACATTTTTCTGGAATCAAATGCCCAAGACTGAAATTTATGCTGGAAGATTTGTTGAATGATCTGCTAGAACAATATTTCTTGGAGAGTGTGTGCAATGCTTTTTTAGGTTTCGTACATGAGTAAGAATATGCAGTGTTTGTCTAAAAGGGAAATTCTCTACACCATTAGGGGAAAAAGTTCTTCTTTTCCCAAATGTGGTGATCAGGAAAAATAAAATTTTATTCTTTCCCTTGTTCAGTATATTCAGGTTTGCTACCATAACAAGCCCAGAAATGACACTAGGAAGATCTTCCACAAGGCACATATGATCACAGCACAGATGTTATTCCCTGACATCTTTATACATAAAATTACATACATCTGTTCTTATAACAACTGTTTCATGTAGGTAACATATATACTGATGAAGCTTTAAAGAATAACATAAACATCTGTGTTTAAATATGATGGTTTATGTACAACATTTTAAAATAAAAATTTTAAATTTTAGTTCTAAAATTGTGTTCTGTTATACCATTTGTGTGAAATGGAGACTTTGCTTTTATTGTGTTTAATACATGTTAAAACATGTGCAAGGCAAGCACCCAGCATTGTAAAATCCTTTCAGTAACATGTTTAAATCACCTGCAAATCAGACCATTCAAGGACACGATTTTCAATCTTATTTCAAAATATGTAGTCGTGCAAACATGAAAGTTTTGGAAAAGTAGGAATGAGAAGAAGTCAGGAGTTTTCAAAAATATTCAGAAATTAAGACCCCAGTTCATTGTTGCTTTAAAATGACCAGAAAGTCTTATTTGTCTGAAGGCAAAACTGCACAGTAGCAGCATGAAAAAATGAGTCTCCTTTCTCCAGAGCATGAAGGAATGTTAGCAAACACTTTCAACGACAAAAACAGTGTAGACCCAGGAGCAATTATATATTTCTGAATCTATCCAGCTGTAACCAAAGAGTTTATTTTTCCTACCAGAAACTGAACCCAGGACTCCTCAACCACTGATACACAGCCCGAGCCCCATCCTCTTTTTTATTTTGAGACAGGGTCTCACTAAGTTGCCCAGGGCCTTGCTAATTTCCTGAGGTTGGCTTTGAATTCACAATCCTCCTGCCTCAGCCTCCTATACCCTGGGATTCCCGTGCCCATCCTCCATCTAAATTTCAGATCACATCATAATGTATCAGCAAATCATACATCCAATACAGAATACTGATTTCACTTAAATATCATACAATATGTAAGTGATTTTTAAAAGTATGTAGCTACATCTGTGTTAATCGCTCATTGACATTAGAATTTGTTCTGGTGAATAAGAACCCTTTATAAAAATGAGCTAAAAGAAATTGTCCAGCGTGTCCTCTCCCAGCCATCGCATCTGCCACTCACACCTGTCTAGCACAGAAGAGCCCAGAGGCTCAGGACCAGGATAAAACTTTCTGCTTCCCTGCAGGGTAATCAAGGGGCCTCCTAACCTGTGGCTCTTAGCAATATGATGGTATTCGGTTAACACACTTTTCAAAGCAAACTACATTAGAAAGACTGCACCTTTCATAGAGAGGGACATAAGTCACAGGGGAAGTAACGTGGCCCAGGTGCAGTGGTGCACACCTGTAATCCCAGCAGTTTGGGAGGCTGAGACAGTAGGATCACAAGATGAGGCCAGCCTCAGCAACTTAAAGGGACCCTAAGCATGTTAGGGAGACCCTGTGTCTAAATAAAATGTGAAAAGTTCTGGGGTTGTGGTTCAGGGGTCAAGCACTCCTGGATTGCATCCCTGGTACCAAAATAATAATAATACCAGCAGCAGCAAAGGAGCACACTTTGATTCACGGTTGCTATGTAGTTCAACTTTACCACAATTCCCATGGCTAAAGTAAGATGGACAAGTGAAATCTGGGAGGGAGACTCATCTTGCTTTAAGTGGGTTAGGATCTCAGGAAAAATTGGGCAGGAAGTTCTTCTCTGTGGCAGAGATGTAGCTGGGAAACTCTGAAGAGCACTAGGGAGAAACAGCTTGCACATCAGGGAGGGCACAGCCACCCACAGCCAGGTGCCCTGCCGGGTGCAGAGCCACTGTGACATATATAAGGACCAAGAAGGAGAGAATCCTGGAGAATATTTGGGTGAATGAATGGCAGCCATTTCCAGAAATTAAGGCTAAAAATAATCCATTGTTACTGAAATTTGGAAGGATTTATGAACAGCTCAGGGTTCACACTTACAGATAGACCCTAAGAATATCTTAAAGTCTGTATTCAGAATCATTAAAAGAAAAATTAGTCTTCTAACAACAGTAGGGAACTGCAAATTAGATTCATCACAGACCCTAAGCTGTCATCACTGGGAAACCCAAACTTACCTACCTGCAGGAGGATCTGTGGCCCTGATGAGGTGAGTCAAGTCCGGTTTGCTTTAGGAAGAAGAAAAGCTCACTTTTTTTCTATAAGTGAATTTGCATGAACTAGGACCTGAAAATACACACCAGGACAAAATGAGTTTAGGATGTGGGGAAAAGGCACAATCATACATTGCTGGTGGACTGCAAATTAGTGCAGCCAATCTGGAAAGCAGTATGGGAATCCTTGGAAATCTGGGAATGGAACCACCATTTGACCCAGCTATCCCTGTCCTCGGTCTATACCCAAAGGACTTAAAAACAGCACACTTTAGGGACACAGCCACATCAGTGTTTATAGCAGCACAATTCACAATAGCTAAACTGGAGCCAACCTAGATGCCCTTCAGTGGATGAATGGATAAAAAAATGTGGCATATATAATCAAAGGCCTTTCAGACACTTTCATTATTAGGAAAAGGGCAAAGAGAACTTTTAAGTGAATAATGAAAAGAAAGAAGATTAATGGACACAAATAGTCTTCTTATCTAGCTATGGACAATTCTATTACCTTGTCATTGGGGAAGGAGAAGGACACCACAATCAGATTCACTGGTCTTTTCCTGGGATGGTGACACAGGACCACTGTCCTCTCACTTGAAATTTGCTCATGGGCAGAGCACCCACTATGAAGTGGCACCATTCATTTCTAAATTGTGTTATTATATGTAATAAAAGAAACATTGTATGGGAAAGTTTGATAGATGCCTGTGGCCATTGAGGTTGCCCTCATTACCTTCTGGGCTATATAAAATTATGGTTTTTAATTCCTCAGAGTCTAGTAGTCAGAGATCAGTAATATTCTATTTGTCCAGGAAGGTGAGAAAAGGAAACCTGAGCATATTTAGTATAAAGCAGGCAGGCAACTTATTACATCCCTGATTATTGGTTTAGGAGTAAATAGCATATCAAACATGGAAACGCACATGTAACATGAGCACTGCTATAGTTGCTAGAAGAAAATTAAACAGAAGCCTGAGATAATCAGCACTTCCTATCAAAAATAGCACCTAACTTTCTGTGTCTCAAAGGATGACGCAACCTAGGAAGATCTCCTTCCTCATATTTCACAGAGCACCTTAGTCTTCTTAAATATAGGGGTGAGAGCTGGGTGTCTCAAGCTACCAAAAACCTCACTCCTAGACCCAGTTTGCCCCTTGCAACCTCCTCCTACAAGCTTCAGGTACTTACTATCTCTGTGGAACAGAGAGGCACTTACCTGGATGGATGCGGAGCACTTGGTGCACCTGAGCATAACCTGCATGGTTCTAAGGAAAAGAGGCTGTGAGCTCATCTCTCTGCAGCCTGCAATTTTAGTGTCTCTACTAAGGTGACAAGATCCCACTGGGGAGCACAGAACTATGGAGTCCCCAGTGGAACATTTCGCTTAGTCCCCTTGATTTGATTTTGTTCTGGATAACAACCATCTGGGGAGAGGTGCTCAAAATTTCCTATGAGTTCCCTTGACAAAAAAAAGTGTGTCCCAATCTTGTAGACAACTCCAAGTTCTCTTACTTGGATTCAAAGTTCAAATTAACCCATACCCTTTCCACATGTTATGATGCCTGGATTCTGGGGATGAGAGGTCCCTAGATCCTCCTGAGGCTCTGTAGATCCTCTCCCTGTGACGTCTGATGGATGCCCTCTTCTCCACTCCATTTTCATGGGGACCACCTGGTTTCCTGACATTGAGGGAGGGGAAGGGAATGGGTATGAGGTTATAAATGATGGTGGAATGTGATGGACATTATTTTCCAAAATACATGTATAAAGACACAATTTGGTGTGAATATACTTTGTATACAACCAGAGATATGAAAAATTGTGCTGTATATGTATAATAAGAATTGAAATGCATTCCGCTGTCATATATAAATAAAAAATAATAAATATTTATTTTTTAATTGCAGTTGGACTCCATACCTTTATTTTTATTAATTTTTATGTGGTGCTGAGGATCGAACCCAGGCCGTGAACATGCTAGGAAAGCACTGTACTGCTAAGCCACAGCCACAGCCCCCATTTCAGCTTTCTAGTTGTCCATGAGTTAGAATGCTTCAGATCACTCATGTTCTAAATCTTTTTTATATACACTTTTAGATGCTGGGGATTGAACCCAGGGACTGGTCATGCTAAGCCCAGACTTTACCACCAACCTATATCCACGGTCCTAAAACTTTAATTTGAATTTCTCACCCTGACTATGGATGCCTAGTAACCTGTTTGCCATTCCCAGAAGCTTTCTTCTACCGTTTCCAATCTATCCAGTCCAGTAAATGTGAAATTTTTTGTACCAGGGATTGAAATCAGGGTCACTCGACCATGGAGCCCCATCCCCAGCCCTTTTTGTATTTCATTTAGAGACAGGGTCTCCCTGAGTTGCTTAGGGCCTTGCTGTTGCTGAGGTTGGCTTTGAACTCACGATCCTCCTGCCTCAGCCTCCCGAGCCGCTGGGATGACAGGTGTATGCCACCATGCCCAACTAAATGTGAAATTGCAATTGTAGATACTATATTTTTAGTTCTTTGCATTTTCATTTGATACCTTTAATTTTCCATTTTTCTCAGGAAATAACTAATCTTTTCATCTATTTTACCAGTATGAACTATTATTACATTGATTACAGGTCTTTTTAGAGCCTTATCATCTAATTCCAATACCTGGAACATCGCAAGATAGACTTAAAATTCTTGTGTTTATTTTAGGTTTGTAGGTCATGGGCTTCTATTTTTTTTCCAGGTTCCCACTCTTCTGGGTTGCACATGATATGGAATTACATGGGTCATTTATTCATATGCACAATTCATTCTACTGTCTTCTATATTCAGATTGCCCCTCCCTTTCCTTAATTCCCCTTTGACAAATCCAATGTACTTCCATTCTTTCCTACCCCCCACTTATTGTTTGACAGCATCCGCATACTAGAGAAAGCATTGGGCCTTTAGTTTGGGGGGATTGAATAACTCCCATTAGAATGACAGTCCCCCGTTCCATCCACTGACTGGCAATGCGTATCACTCCTCATTCCATGGTGTGTATGAAGCCCATTTTTTTCACCCATTCATCTGGTAAAGGACACCTGTGTTGGTTCCATGGTGAGCAATTGTGAATGGAGCTGGTGTGAACACTGATGTGCCTGCGTCACTATAGTACGCTGAGTGTAGACTGAGGAGAGGGATAATTGGGACACATGGTGGTTCCATTCCCGTTTCCTGAGGAATCTCCACCCTGCTTTCCAGAGTGGTTGCACCACTTTGCAATCCCACAGCCATGGGCGAGTGTAACTTTCCCCCACATCCTCACCAACACTTATTGTTACTTGTATTCTTCATAATTGCCACTCTGACTGGCATGAGATGAAATCTCAGTAGAGTTTTAGTTTGCATTTCTCTAATTGCTAGAAAAACCAAAAAAAAACTCAAGAAATGTGGAACATTTTTTCATATATTTGTTGACCATTGGTATTTCTCTCTCTATGAAGTGTCTGCTCGTTTTTTTTTTTTTTTTTTTTTGCCCATTTATGGATTGGGTTATTTGTTTTTGTGGTGTTCAGTTTTTTGAGTTATATCCTAGAGATTAGTGCTCGGTCTGAGATGTGGGTGGCAAAGATGTTCTCCCATTCTGTAAACCCTCTCTTCCCATTCTTGATCATTTCCCTTGCTGTAAAGAAGCTTTTGGGTTTGGTTTCATGCCATTTATCTACTCTTGATTAAACTGTTTTGCGTTTCAGGAGTTTTATTGAGGAAGTTGGTTCCTAAGCCAACATGAGGTAGATTTGGGTCTCTGGGTCTCTGGTCTAATGCCTAAGTTCTTGATCCACTTAGAGTTGGGTTTTGTGCAGGGTGAGAGACAGGGGTTTAGTTGCATGTGGCTACATGTGGATTTCCAATTTTCCCCACTTAATTTTTGGAGAGGTCATCATTACTCCAATGTATGTTTTTAGCCTCTTTGTCTAGTATGACGTAACTGCACTTCTGTGGATTTGTCTCTGTGTCTTCTGTTCTTACCTGTCTGCTTGGTGCCAATACAATGCCATTTTTGATACTGTAGCTCTGTAGTATAATTTAAGGTCTGGAATTGTGACGTTTCCTGCTTCATTTTTCTTGCTCAGGATTGGTTTGGCTATTCTGGGCCTCTTGTTTTTCCAAATGAATGTTATGACTGATTATTTCTATTCCTATGGAAAATGTTACTGGGATTTTAATAGGAACTGCATTCAATCTGTGTAGCACTTGTGGTGGTGTGGCCATTTTGTTAATTCTGTTGTCCAAGATAATGGAAGAACTTTCCATCTTGTAAGGCCTTCTTCAATCTCATTCTTTAGGGTTCTGTGGGTTTTCATTTTAGAAGTCATTTATCTCTTTTGTTTGACTGATTAATTCCCAAATATTTTATTTTTTGAGGCTACTGTGAATGGGATAGTTCTCCTAATTTCTTTTTCAGGCAATTCATCACTGATGTATAGGAATGCAACTGAATTATAGGTGTGGATTTTACATCCTGCTACTTTTATAAATTCGTTTATGAGTTCTAGAAGTTTTCTAGTGGAGATTTTTGGTTTCTCTAAATATAGAATCATGTCATCAGCAAATAAGGATAGTTTGAGTCCTTCTTATTCTCTTCATGTCCCTTTAATTTCATTCTTCTGTCTACTTGCTCTGGCTAGAGTTTCAAGATGATGTTGAATAAGAAGTGGTGAAACAGGGCATCCTTATCTTGTACCAGAATTTCAAGAGATTATGCTTTCAATCTTTCCGTTTAGGATGATGTTGGCATTGGGTTTAGCACATATAGCTTTTACAATACATGTTCCTTATATCCCTGGTTCTTCTAGAATTTTGAACATGAATGCTTGCTGTACTTTATCAAAGTTTTTCTGCATCTATTGAGATAATATGATTCTTGTCTCTAAGTCGATTGATGTGATGTATTACATTTATTGATTTCCGTTACGTTGAACCAAACTTGCATCCTTTAGATGAACCCCTCTTGATTGTAGTGCACTAGATTTTTTAAATGGTTTTATATGCAGTTTGCCAGAATTTTATTAAGAATTTTTGCACCTAAGTTCATCAGGGATATTCGTCTGAGGTTTCTTTCCTTGATGTGTCTTCGTCTGGTTTTGGTATCAGGGTGATACCAGCTTTGTAGATTGAGTTTGAAAAGGTTCCCTCCTCTTCTATTGCATGGAATAATTTGAGGAATGTTGGTGTTAGTTCTTCTTTGAAAGTCTCATAGAATTGGCTGAGTCCTATGAGAACTCAAAGATGTTAATCAGATATGATTTGTATTTTCAGTCATTTTGGTTTATTTTTGGCTTTTAATTTGAATTAGTTTGTCCTTTCCTCCCTTTGCTTATTTTTCACGTATATTTTTCATTTCTCCTTCAATAAATATTTTGAGTATGTTTTGTAAGGCAGTCTTTCTAGTCTTGGGAATTTTTTTAACTTATGTTTGTCATGAAAGGTTTTTATTTAAGCGTCAATTCTGAGATTTTATTTTCCTGGGTATTGTACTCTTGGCTAGCATCCACTTTCTTTCAGAGCTCAACATATATTATTCCAAGACATACTAGTTTTCAGGGTCTTAGTTGATAAAATGGCTGAGATCCAGATTGATTTCCCTCTAAATGTGACACGTCATTTTTCTCTGAAAGCCTTTAAAATTCTATCCTTATTTTGTATGTTAGGCATTTTCATAATAATGTGCCTTGGTGTGGGTCTGTTTTAATTTTGCATATTTGAGGTCCTATAAGCCTCCTGTATTTGATTTTGCACTTAATTCGTTAGGTTTGGGAAATTTTCTGATATTATTTAATTGAAAAATTGTGCATTCTTTTGGTCTAAATCTCTGTGCCTTCATTTATCCTGATAAATCTTGAATTTGGTCTTTTCATGTTATCTCATATTTCTTGGAAATTCTACTCACATGTCTTATAACATCTTCTCTGCATGGTCAGCTTTATTTTCAAAATTATATATTTTGTCTTCATGGCCAGAATGGATATTGTAATATCTTAATATCTTTCTTAACCTGAAACAGAAATGCAAACCTGAAGCTGAGTTTGGAAACCTTAGGAGACATAATACCCCAAACCACATGGTCATTATGAGAGTGGACCAGGGATGACAGCCTCACATTTTAGGGAAAGGACCCTCAGAGCCCCTGGGAATGCATGGGAGATGGCAGTAACCACTCACCCCAGAGGAGAGACATTACAATGTGTGGTATAGGATTGAGCTAATTTGAACATGGGTTTTAAAAAATGAGAATATGGGTATAGTCCACATGACTGGGAGCTGTGAGATCCTCACATGAGTGTGTCCAGGGACTTGAGAAAAGTTTTGAGTTCGACTCTCCCCCAGTTTCTATTATCCAGCAGAGACCAAAGTAAAAGTAAGTGACATGTTCCACTGGGGAAGCCACAGTTCTGCGTTCCCAAGTGGCATCTTGTCACCTTCTTCAGATGCTAAAATTAAAGGCCTACATAGAGGTGAGTTAAAGACATGCTTTCCTTAAAACGGTGCAGGATCAGCTCAGGTCTCCTGACTCCCCATGCCACCTGCCCAAGTAAGTGCTTTTCTATTCCTAAGACGCAGCACCAGTGTGTGAGTGGGCTTCTGTGATTGTGCTGAAGAATTAAAATAGTCAAATTGTATGTTAGGTTATTTGGTAGCTCTGAATTATGTCCCCAGCTCTACCCACACTCAACATCTCAGAGGACTGTTTTCTCTAGTCTGCAAAGGGAAATGCTCTTCTTACTACAGTTAGCCCTTTACTTTGGTGACTCATGAATATTGTTAATTTTTTAATAAGAAATGATTATCTCAAGTAAATCATATCAGGTTCTCATCTATTTCTCAGATGCAGTGAGTTTAATGCATGGCTCTATCAGATCTCAAACTTCATGTTACTGAGTTGTCTTGCTATCTTCTGCTACAATCTTACCA